TAGGTTTCTTCCACACCCCGGCCACCGGGTGGTCTGGCTGGTGGTGGCGGTAGGTAGGTGATGTACTCCCTCCGTCCCAAAATTCTTGTCTTAGATTTGTTTAAATACGGATGTATCAAGTCACATTTTAGTATTTGATAGAATTTTGGAACGGAGGGAGTAGATGGAGATGCGCCGCGTGCGACGGTGCCGGCCGGCTGATAATAGGTGCGTGAGCGTATATACATTCCAGCTAGCTTTGTTTGTGACCTGCGGGCCATGCCAATTCCGAGGCGAGGCAAGCAAATGGCCGGCATTGCCTTGCAGGTGCAGGTTGCAGCGGCTAATGGAGACGATGTTAGAGGACCCACTCTTCGCCTGAGAGACAAATTGGTGATTCCATACATGGATTGGTTTGGTTGTTTCATCGATGAATCCCATGCACGTCCGTCCGATTGACCCGGCCGGCTCTGTATACTTTCCGCGTCCTCTTTGCCATTATATTCCTAGATAGAAACAAAACATCTACATCCAATATTCTTCTTCTAATTATTATTACATCTAAAAAAAAGCATACCATAAATGGATGGATGAATTTGTGTGTCATCTTTGATTTTCTAAGTTGACTGAGATGAATTCAGAATTGAAGAGGAGGCCCAGGCAGAATTAACGTCTGATGAGCCAAACTGAATGTGCTTGTTTCCGAATAATGCTCAGTAAGAAAAAAGGATCTGATTCCTGAACCAAAACTGAACAACCTACGGTCATAAGGAAATTCTTTGCATAATATTCAGGCTTAAAGAGGCCCAACCAAATTGAATGTTTTGTTTTCAAATAATTTGTTCTTCAAAATCTGAACAATCTGAATAATTTGTTTTGGGACAACCAACTCGCTAGTTGTTTCATTTGTTGGCTGGTTGGATGTAAGAACTGAATGTGTTGCTTTTGCTTCAGAAGTACTAGCACTCCTGTTAACCGTGGCAAATTTTATATCCAACTCCGTGGCAAAAAAAATTGAACATGTTTTTCTTATGATACATAAAGCCCCTAGCCAGCAAGGAAATAGTCCACATTGCGAGCTTCATTGAATAGTTGTTTGAATTTGAAGGAAATAAACATACATACATCCAGGGCAATATTTCATTGCGAGCTTTCAACACATTCTAAGAATTTTAGAAGTCCAGACGTATTCTAGTTAGTTTCAAATGTGCTTTGCTTCACTTTGGAAGATGCCAGTTGTTTGAATTTTAACTCTGCGATCTGCTTGAGATTTTTTGTTTGTTTGTTATGAACCTTGTGCTTCTGCCTTTGACGATGTCGTTAAATTCACCATTGACCTAGGTCTTGGTTTAATTTCATCACCATGTTGTACATGTGTACTACTTTTTCTGTTTAATTCTTTTGATCTGATGTTTGGGTGCCAACAGATAACAGGAGATGTACAGACTAAGGACGGAAAGTTTTTATTTGACCAGATAGGGTCACTTCGCACTGAATTTTGTTTTCAATGGCAAGATCGTAGTGCGAGCTTTAATATCATTTACTCAAAATACATCTAACCCTTGGACCAATTCATCTGTTTTTATAGGGAACTGATCTCGCGGAAGACGGGTGACCACTTTGCTACCACAAGTCTCCTTCACACCGTGTAGCCCGCAAACATGTCTCAGAGCATTTGCCGACCAAATTTATGTTGTAATGAACCGTTGACTTTCGTTGATCGAACATCTTGTATTTTTTCATTTGGACCGTGGCATGTATGCATGTAACATTTTCATTTGAACAGTTAATAGTACATGCAACAGATTATATGAGCCTTTTTGTTATTTTGCGTAATCTAATTGCACCATTGTTATTTCTTCTATGATTTGAGAGGATTGGGTGGAAGAGAGAGATTCACCAAATCCTCCCAAATCCCCTCCTCCCAAAACCTCTCAAATACTCTTCTACCAAATGAGGCCTGAAGGGGAAGTTCTTCAGAAACCACACCCACACCTCTTCTGCACCCAAGCAGTCTAACGCCTCCAATTCGCCTCCGGTCACCACACCGCCGTCGGAACCCGTGCTCACCCAGCACAAGCTCAAACACCGCCGATGAGCGCTGACTACCGATACCAATTGACGGGCTCCAAGCTATGATCTAAGAAATATTCATAGTTGGGACTCAATTTCACATCGATTAGCTCACTTCCAGAGGAAGGATTTCTGGATCTGGGATTACAAAAGCTAGGGTTCTTCGCCAGCGGGAACACGGCGGCCTTGGGGACAACCCCTTACACAAGAGATGGATCCACCGATCCCAAAATGGGGCTTTAATAACCAAATGAAGTAGCTAAAGCAAGTAAAGTGAAATAAAGTAAAGTACTCCCTCCGTCCGAAAAAACTTGTCATCAAAATGGACAAAAAGGGATATATCTAAAACTAAAATACATCTAGATACATCCCCTTTTATTCATTTTGATGACAAGTATTTCCGGACAGAGGGAGTATTTCTTTGTCGGAAAGGTAACAGCCACAGCGGAGCTCGCGATGACTGTTGGATGGAAGATCCGCGGCCTGGGGAGCTACCCGTTTCGAATCAGTACGAGGCCAGGACAGCCACGTGATGTAGATCGGACGTCCACGGTTGCATCCAGCAATGACAATAGATGAACTACAGGATAAGTGTTCATTTCTTCAGTTTCGTCTGTGTAGGGCCTGACAGACTAGCTCTTCAAATTTTGGATGTAACCATTGAAGTTATGTTTTTTCGTTCATATCATGTTTACATGTTGCTTTCTGTATCTAGATTAATTTTGATTTGAAGTGGCATGCCAGGATCTATACATAGTTTTGCCTGTCTGAAAATACTTTGCATATGCTCCACGGACAGTATCATCTTGTAGCTCTTACAGCACACAAAAAATATATCAATTAACTGTTTTTCTGTTGCCATAATATCAACTAACCGCCTGATTCCATGATTATGTACAGCTTTGTTTTCCTTAATGTGTACAGTTATGGGATTTCAATCAGTCTAGTCTACTCAATGGTAGATACCTTAAGTTACATGCAAAGATACTCAAGAAAATCAAGCAATGGAAATCATCCTTGGTGGTGCTAGTAATGCAAAGATTCAACTTTTATGTAACCTTGGCTGAATTTTGATCATTTGATGTTGCTGTGAACCTCTGTTGTATTGCAAAGATTGAACCTTTTACAAAGTCTCATGTTAAAGTTATCCTTTTGTTTTAATTAATGTGTACTGGGCATGGTTCAGTGAACATTGCTGTAAGTATGAATAGTTGAGGTTCAATGTTATATTCTTGCTCATTTTGGTGCTGGCAAGGATATCACCTCAAAATCCTAGCGCCAGCCAAACATGAAATTTGGATTTGGAATCTGGATTCAGCCAAATGAAATGTTGGTAGAGACAGAAATGAAATGAAATCAGGGAGCCAAACGAGCTGTCAAAGATACTCCCTCCGTCCCATAATGTAAGACGTTTTTTGATACTACACTAGTGCCAAAAAAACGTCTTACATTATGGGACGGAGGGAGTAGTAATTACAGAAATTGTAGACACTATCTGACAAGCATCTCCATCTAACGAACATTAGAATTAATGCTCCACCTGCCTACATAACTCACGTTAGCTGCAATATGACAATTGTTATATCTCACTATGTTGTCAGGCATTGGAAGTGTTCACCCACAGAATTACCATTTGTTGATGATCAGAGATACTGTCAAAATGTATAGACACATGCTATTCTTATGGTGTTCTCTAACAACAAAATGTATTAACAATGCTCATCTACTGGTCATCAATTGCATGTGAACTTTCCATCTTCTCTAGTGACAAGGGGGCAGAGAAATTTAAAGGTGAGAACATGTCATCATAATTGGACTTGGGAGCAGGCTTAAACTCGTAAGGGCCAGCCTTGGTTCCCCAAACCTGAGCATAAGTGGGCAATGCATCAAAATAATATTCCTCTCTTTTTTCACAGGCATAGCAAGTCAAAACGTAGGAAGCCTACCTGGCTTCCATTGTCGTCAAAACCCTTGTCCCAAATGTGTATTTCACTATTCTTGTGAATGGACAGATCAGATGTACAATATGCTGCACCACTCTGTCAAAGGATTAATCTTCAGATGGAATCAACATAGCTAATCATTGCATAAGAGGATAATCCCTAGGTGTGAATTGATATTGAAATAAAAAGGGCAATTTCAAATTATTCTTGGTCAAGAAGAAGAATAGGCATGTAGATTCAGAATGGAGAATAAGTAGCTCACCCAACTGTTGGGAAAACCTCCCAGTGGGGTTGATCCTTCATATAAGCAGCGTTTTCCGCGTTCACATCGTGATAAGTGTATGGTGGTCAAATGCTCTGCGATATCCTGAACACGAAATATTTGAGTGCAAGGACAGTTGTATATGCCACAAGCTGGGATCACCGTAAGAAAAAACACCTAAAAAAACAAGCTGGGATGTGTGACCACATTGTCAGAACATGAGCCTGCAAACTGTCATGTTTCTTCAGTTAACTGTATCGCTTCCGAAAACACTTCGTGGAATCGGATGGCTAGCTGCTCGGGTTAAACCTCACTTGACGGCGGAGATCATTTAAGACAAGTTACTGTTTACTTTCATATTCTTAACCTATATAACAGCCGGGTTGTGGCTGAGCTGGGCATTGAGAATTATTCCCTTTTATTCCGGCCATGTGACCATGAACACATACTTCATATACGTTTCAATATAAATCTCGTCCCTTGATTTGGCCAATTATCTTCCAATTTCTCCACAGAATTAGTTTAGAGTGTTCTAGCTATAAGTAGAAGTGAGATGTGAAGGCTTCCCAAAGACCTATAAATAGAGGTCCTCACCTCTAGTTTGCAGGCAGACTATGTACCCCACTACCTATAGTAGAACTTGGCGTTATTATCTAAGATCTTGGACTAGATCTTGTGCTAGGAATTTTGGATTTAACTCTTGCTGTCATATCGGCCCTATCTCTGCCTCTAGAGCAATATCTAGCGCAGCACGTCGAAATGGTTCCTTCAACACTTGTGTTGTACACATTGTAGCAGCAAGGTGTAGTTGCTCCTCCACAACCTTGTGCTGCTTCAGGTGGCTAGTTCTTGTTGTTCTCTTTGATAGTGGAGCTGCAGCAAGCAATGAAGCAATTGGAGAAGAGATGGATGCTGCCAACAAAGAAAATTTATTTCTGATCTACACTAAAAGTAGCTCCTTCTCTTCCCCTACCTAACCCAAGCTTGTCTGGGTTGGGAGGAACTTGTTTGTAAAAATGTAAAAGTGTAACATCTTTATACATATATATGAAAACACAGTAGGAGCCTTTCCTACTGTCCTTTCCGTCAAAAAAATGAAGAAGATGTTCGACAGGGAAGAAGAGGAGGTAATCTTGGAGCAAGATTACTGACTACCACAAAAATGTGCAGTTCAGTGTGCTTCAAGAAGGCCAATTTATGTTGAAGCTTTTGAAGGTGAAGAATATGATGATGCCCTTGAAGAACCTAATCTCTATGCATATCAGAGAGTACCCAACCCTACATATGCAAGGGATAAAGACAAGGTGAAAGCTGAGATCCCAACTTTTAATGGAAATGTTGATATTGAAGGGTGCCTTGATTGGTTATATGAAGTGGAGACTTTCTTTGAGGTCATGGAGATTCCGGAAGATCGTAGAGTTTCTTTGGTCGCCTACAAGTTGAAAGGAGGAGCCAGTGCATGCTGGCATCGCCTTCAAGAAGAACACAGCCTGAGAGGAGAACCTCGTGTGAGAACTTGGCGGCGAATGAAGAGTTTTTTGAATGGGAGATTGCTGATTATGAGCAGATCATGTTTATTCAGTTTCAAAATTGCGCCCAAGCAAATAGGACTGTTTCAGATTACATGGAGGAGTTTTTAAGGCTACAAGTGAGGTGCAACCTTGCCGAAACTAAAGATCAACAAGTTGCAAGGTATATCAATGGTCTCACTGATGCTATTCAAGATCGATTGATGATGCAGCAAATCTGATCCATTGTCAAGCACAAGCTCTAGCCTTGAAGACCAAGAGGTTTGTGAGGACAAGAAAGACAACTAAGGCTACATATCCTCGTACCGAAGGCTCGTCTAGGAGTCACACTAATAGAGTGGAAGAAAAGACCGCTCCACCAAAGGCAAAACAACCCATCCCAAAGCAAACTAGACTATAAATGTGGTGAAGAGGGATACATATCCAGCGGTTGCCCACTAAGGAAATTTGTTAACACAGCTATCCATGATGGTGAAGACGATGAGGAATACAAATTTGAAGATGTAGAGGGATAAGAGGTTTATCAAGAAGAAGGTGAAGGGGTGGTATGTGTAATTCAGCGTCTCCTATGTTCCACACCACAACCTGACGACACAAAACGGAAGGAAATATTTGAGAGCAAATGCACTATGAATGGCAAGGTATGCAGATTAGTAACTAATAGTTGCAGCTGCGAGAATCTTATCTCACAGAATTTGGTGAACCATTTAAAGCTTGAAACTCATGATCATCCAAATCGCTACACTATTGGGTGGATCAAGGAGTGAATACAAGGATCACCAAACAATGCAACCTGCCACTTTCTTTGGGCAAGCATTATCACTAAAATGTGTTGTGATGTGGTTGACATGGGTGCCAGCCATGTTCTTCTTGGGAGACCTTGGCAATTTGATGTGGATACTACACAAGTACACGTAAAGGGAAGGGAAATTCTTACTCTTTCATTTGGAACAAGAGGAAGACCATTATTCTAAGGAGGGGAAAAGTATGTTAACTATCTCCCACACCTCTAATGAGTTTATGGGAGAGGAGGCAGATTTGTATGCTATACTTATTGTAAAAGGAGAAGAGCACCATGTTGTAGAAATTCCAACGGAGGTACATGGCTTATTAGCAGAATTTCAGAAAATACTTGGAGAGCCACAAGGCCTGCCACCGATGAGAGGAATTCAACATAGAATTGACTTAATTCCGGGAGCAAGTCTTCCTAATCTTCCACACTAAGAGCATGACATATTGAAGGAGAAAGTGAAGGAATTGCTGCAAAAAGGACACATTCAAGAAAGTATTAGCCCATGTAATGTACGAGCCCTACTCATGCCAAAGAAAGATGGATCTTGCCGCATGTGTGTGGACAGTAGAGACATCAACAAGATCACTGTAAGGTACAGGTTCCCTATTCCCTGTCCGGATGATATGTTGGATCAGCTTAGTGGAGCAAGAGCGTTCACAAAGCTAGATTTTAGACCCGGAGATGAATGGAAAGGTTTTTTGAATGGCTAGTCATGGCATTCAAACTCTCAAATCCACCAAGCACATTCAAGCATTTGATGAACCAAGTCCTTTGGCCCTTCTTATCCCACTTTGTTATGGTTTATTTTGATGACATCTTGATCTATAGCAAGGTTGAGGATGAACACGTAGATGACATTCAGAAGGTGCCAAGAGCTCTACGTCAACTTGAAGAAATGTGTTTTCCTGCAAACACAACTTCTTTCCCTAGGATTTGACATAACATGTGAAGGTATTCGTGTTGATAATTTTGAGGTTGACGCAAGTTTTCATGGCCTTGCAACTTTCTATAGGCGATTTATGAAGAATTTCAGCACACTATTGTGGCACCAATTAGCAATTACCTAGACCGAGAATGGACAACTCCGAAGACCATTTCTGAGGTAAGAAGTTTTCATGGCCTTATAACTTTCTATAGGCAATTTATGAGGAATTTCAGCACTATCATGGCACCAATTACCGGGTGTTTGAAGAAAGGAAAGTTCCAATAGACGAAAGCGGCCGAAACTAGTTTTAATGAGATCAAGCAAAAACTCTCACAAGCTCTTGTCTTGGTGTTATCGGCTTATCGCATTTCAATAAGACTTCTGAGTTGGAGTGTGATGCAAGTGAGTACCCATTGGAGTTGTTCTCTCTCAAGAAGGAAGCCCATTGCTTTACCGAAGCAAGGCAGAAGAGTACTTATCAGCAAGAATTGTATGTCATTTCAGAGCTTTGAAAACTTGGGGTCTATTTGCCGCCTAAAGAGTTCATTGTTTACAGTGGCCATCAATCCTTGAAGCATTTCAAAAATCAAAAGCATGTTGAGCGCATGCTAGCAAGATGGACAACATATTTGGAGAGGTTTAACTACCTCATCGTGCATAAATCCGAGCAACTAACCGAAGGGTCAATGCGTTGAGTTGTCGTGCATGCCTCTTGACTTTTTCTGAGGTTGAACTTTCAGGCATGGATCAAATAAAGGAATTGTATGAGGATGGCGAAGACTTTGGCCATGTTTGGGTAAAGCACAGCAGGGGCCAACCATTATGTGATGACTATTTGGTGCAAGATGGCTATCTCTTCAAAAATGATCATTTGTGCATCGCAAGGAGTTCTCTATATGACAAACTATAGACAAACTAATTAGAGAGCTCCATTCAAGTGATCTTAGTGGCCATGTTGGACGCGACAAGACTATCACTAACCTAAAGGCTCGTTACTTTTGGCCACAACTAAAAAGAGATGCTCGAAAGTTTGTTCAACGGTGCCCCATATGTCAAAACTGCAAAGACCAAGTTCCAAGTTCAGAACATAGGGTTATACATGCCTTTGCATGTTCCTGTTGCTCCGTGGGAGGATACCTCTATGGACTTCGTCTTGGGTTTGCCAACAACAAGACGAGAGAGTGATGTTGTGTTTGTTGTTGTGGATAGATACTCTAAGATGGCTCATCATGTGGCAAACCTATGATGTTTGTTCGTGCTCTACCTCGTATCGAGGCTATACCAGATCACGCACTCATTCTCCTAACTACTGGTTTGCCACGACCACAACATAGACGCAAGTTCAAGTTCGAACTTGGGTGGTTGCTTCGTGATGGCTTCCATGACATGGTCGAGGAGGTGTTGGAGAAACCGGTGGCCGGGTCTACCCCAAGTCCTCAATACACAGATGGAATAACAAAATGCGTGCATTACGTAAATTCCTTGGTGGTTGGGCTAGGCATACGGTGGGTATCCTCAAAAAAGAGAAGCTTCGTCTTTCATCTATCATTGATGAATTAGAAGCTTTGGCAGAGGTTAGACCTCTATCTGAGTATGAAATCGAGATCGAGAATCATTCGAATGCACAGATAGCTAACATGTTGCGTGAAGAGGAACTCAAATAGTACCAACATTCCAACTCTCAGTTTGTCCTGAAAGGTGATTCGAATACTAGATATTTTCATGGAGTCGCCAATGGCAGACAACGGAACAAAATTATTCATTCACTACAATAGGACGAGGGCACGATTGAGGGGCATGAGCAACTTACAAAAATCTGTTCGGAGCACCAATGAAAGGAAACTTCTCAATGGATGAA